TCTGATCTAGATTTCTCTGCATTATCCACTGAAAATGTGACACAATTCAAGTCTGATGTCTAGGAGTGTACCTCGCTCTTTATGTAGGCTGGAGACTGTAAAAGGGTTTCTCAAACTGTACTATTGACATTTTGGGTTGGATGATTCATGTTGTGGGGGAGGGTGGCAGTCCTGTGCATTATAAGATTTTTAGCTATATTCCTAGCCTCTACCAGTAAAAGGCAATAACTGCCCACCCCTCTTTCCAAGTTATGACAATCAAAAATCTCTCCAGACATAGCCAAATGCCCCTTGTGTTAAAATTGCCACCTCCCATTGAGAACCAGTGTTCTAGACTGCATTTCTGCAATCAAATGTAGCAGCCCAACTAATTTTGTATAGCTTTCTTGACTTTTCCAATACGGTTATATATATATGGATATATAACATATATAACACCAAATGGTTTTATACACACACACACACACACACACACACACACACACACACATAAAAAACACAAAAATGGTTCCAGATCAGGAATTAGATATGTAGATAAATAAAAATGAGATATGAAAATCAGCAAAAAAAATAGACAAATGGAGAGAGATAATATAAAACCCTAAAATTTAGAACTGAGGTTAGATTACTCCTAGGGTAAACAATTGCAAGGAAATTAAAACTTCAATAGGAATTACATGATTTAGGAGGTAACTTATAAAGACATTTGTACCTGGATATTCATCCAAGAATTCTTTGGAACAGTGAAAAATGGAAACAGTCTGGGCATGGTGACTCCCACCTGTAATCCCAGCACTGGGGAGGCTGAGGTGGGCGGATCACTTGAGCCCAGGAATTGGAGACCAGCCTGTATAACGTAGTGAGAGACCTTGTCTCTATTTGAAAAAAAAAAAAAGGAAAGAAAAAAAGAGAAAAATGGTAACAGACTAAATGCTTGAAAATGGAAGGTAAATGATTTATTCCATATTGATCTCATAGAATATTAGGCAGTGATCAACATGACATATTTTAAAAACATTAATAACATGGGGAAAATGTTCAACATATAATGCTATGAAAAGAGTAAGATGTTAATAGATGCAGGTTTTGAATATCAAGTGTTCAAAGAACATAGAGTTGTCCCTTGGTATTCATGGGGGATTAGCTAGTTCTAGCACACCCTGTGGATATTAAAATCTGTAAATGCTCAACTCCCTGAAATAAAATGGAGTAATATTTGCATATAACTTATGTATATCCTCTCAGATACTTTAAATCATCTCTAGATTACTTATAATACCTATTACAGTGCCTACGCATGGCTTCATTTGCATAGATTCAATGTAGTACTTGGCACAGCAAATTTAAATTTTGCTTTTGGGAAAATATTTCCAATCTGTGGTTGGTTGAATCCACAGATGTGGAACCCATGGATACAAAGCCAACTGTATAAGCATAGGAAAAAAGATGATAAAATATTAGTAGTGGTTATGGGATTATGGTAGAGTTATATATGGTTTTAATAGTCTTTATACTTTTTATGTTTCCAAAATATTCTTAATGTACTGATATTGCTTTAGTAAGTTTTGCGTGCATGAGGGATGCTGAGGGCAAGTGATTCCCTTAGTTGAGTGAGCACTGTTAGAGTTTCTAATTTGTTCACAAAAGACTGTACCAGTAAGAAAAGATATTTCAGGCCAGGCACGGAGGCTCGCCTGTAATCCCAGCATTTTAGGAGGTTGAGGTGGGCGGATCATGAGGTCAAGAAATCAGGACCATCCTGGCCCACATGGTGAAACCCCATCTCTACTAAAAATACAAAATTTAGCCAGGTGTGGTGGCGTGCACCTGTAGTATCAGTCACTTGGGAGGCTGAGGCAGGAAAATTGCTTGAATTAGGGAGGCGGAGCTTGTAGTGAGTCGAGATTGTGCCACTGCACTCTAGCCTGGTGACACAGAGAGACTTCATCTCAAAAAAAAAAAAAAAAAAGAGAACAGAAAAGAAATTTCAGAGAAGGCACATGAGGAATGAGGACAATATTTGTACATTGGGCCTCCCAGTCCTTTTGAGAAAAAAAATCCTGTGTATCACTTTTCATTAAATAAGAATTGTTTTATGTTCTAACCAAATTCTGTCCCTCCAAGTCAGTGGTCCTCAGACTTTAGATTGCTGACAAATCACCTTGGGCTTGCATATGAAACACAGATTCCTGGGCTCCAACTCCCAAGGTTCTGATTCTGGGATGGGGCTCAGGAATCTTCATTTTTTTTTTTTTTTTTTTTGAGACGGAGTTTTGCTCTCGTTACCCAGGCTGGAGTGCAATGGCGCGATCTCGGCTCACCGCAACCTCCGCCTCCTGGGTTCAGGCAATTCTCCTGCCTCAGCCTTCTAAGTAGCTGGGATTACAGGCATGCGCCACCATGCCCAGCTAATTTTTTGTATTTTTAGTAGAGACGGGGTTTCACCATGTTGACCAGGATGGTCTCAATCTCTTGACCTCGTGGTCCACCCGCCTCGGCCTCCCAAAGTGAGGAATCTTCATTTTTAACAAGGTCTTCTAATGATTCATTCTGATGCAAATGGTCCCTAGATCACATTTTGAGAAACTCTGCTATAAGAAATCATGTGGCATTTGGATTTTTTTTCTGCCTCTGCTTTGGATAACTGTCTCCTGGATATGCACTAAAGATAGCTGTCATAGACCTGCAGTGGTGTGCTGGTAAACTAGGTCTTTGGAAAAACTGTGCTATAAATATACCCACCATAGCCAATTTCAACCTGCCAATGGCTTATCAACCAGCTTACAAAATTCTTGAAGGTTTAACAATCAGTTCCCATAAGCTGATACAAGCTGGCTCCAATTCTGTACAGTATATATTTAAGTGCATTAAATATTTTGAAAACGAGATATACAAATGTAAATCTATTATGATACCTATGACAGGATGAAACAAGCAAGCAATAGGATGGCTTGAATCACATCAAAGCAACATATTTCAAATGTATTAGGAGAAAGTACAATAGCTTTTATCACTATTTCTTACCTTGTGCTATTTTTTTCACCGACATATCATGAAGAGTGATACACTCACTGAGTTCTTTAAGAGTTGTGAATTGCTTTTCTGTGGATGATGGAGAACTAAGGATCAGGACTCCAGGGTTAGGAGCAATGCCAGATGTTCAGCCTCCACCTCCACCATCTGTGGTTCTTAGCCCACGGGGTTGTTGAAATGCCCTTGGTCATTAATTCTATAGCACCCAACCATAAAATCAACTCCTCAGCTTCTTCCTCTAGCACATGATTGAGACAATGTTGTCTCTAGGAAACCCCAATCAGATGTGTTTTATGTGTTCATGTGTGGGAAGTGGCCTAAGTAGAGGCTAATAGTATAGTTCTTTCACTATTTTGACCAGACATATTTTAAGAAAATTGGATCTGAAGCCTATACAGCCAGCTGAAGTGAATTTACAGCTCAGCTTTTGAGAATAAGACTCCCTGAGGCACCTGCCTCAGAAAGGCAAAACCAGAAAGGAAATGAACTCTTGCTTAAAGACAACTCACCTTATTTTATGGGTTATCAATTTTCTAGCTGGCACACAGTTCCCCAGCTACTAAGAGATTTTTCCCCCGTCCTGAGCAAGTATGGAGCTACAAAAAATGTCATCTGCATTCTAGCAAACAGTTCAGTTTTCTGAAGATGAACCATGGGATGTAGTCTCAGAAGGAGAAGTTGAGGGAGCAGAAAAGATCTATGATGTAGGCTCCCCACATAGATGCCTTTGCCAATATATGCATTAAAATCTCAGCCTGGATTACATTTTACATTACAGGATTGCTGAATCTTAGCTGATGATGGAGAATCTCTTTCGTGTCTTTGGTGTAGCTCTGTCAGGTGAATAGTCAACAACAATGTAAAACACTTGATTTCCTTTTAACTGCTCCAGTGACCTCAGAACTCAGCTTATCAACCTCTCAGAAATGAGAAAGGACTAAAGAGCTTTTTTTTCCTTGCTATTGAAAAAGTCAGCCTCTCCATGGGAATAGACTACAAAATAGGGGTTAAAGGTTAACAGGAGAGACTCTTAGACCACTCCATGCTAGAAAACACAATGAATAGATGTGATTTTCTTAGTACATACACTAAAGTAAAATCAAAACATTCGGAGTCTTTAGAAACTGTAAGAACTAATGTAACTAATAAGCAAGTGAAAATTCGTATAAATCTGAGTATATACATGATGAAGTCAGAATCAAATACTTAAAATTATATGCTGGTTTTGTCATAATCTCAGTCTTTCTCCAAGCTTCATTTAGTTGTGAAGGCAAAGAATCTTCAGGAGAAATATGAATATTCAATTACGTTTGAAAATCAGACATTTACACATCCATTTGCGATAAGTGCCAGAGTTAACATCAAAGATATGTGAAGGACCTCTTGTCCAAATGGAACATTAAGCTCCTCAAACAGGAGAATTTACCTCTCACAAACCAGCATTATTCCAGCAAATGAAGCTGGCCCTTTAACAGATGGGCAATATACTCTTGAGCTTGTTGATAGCCTAATAAGAGACAGTGTCTTTTTAAAGAATGAAGGACATGCACTCCTCAAATTACAGGACCCACAAGGATTGCACAGAATAAAATTAAGAAGTTATACAACAGCTTGACCAAAATTAGGAACAGACTACGGGAACTGGATAGTTCTAAACATCAATATCCAAATGACCTTTCTTTGAAAAAAATAGAGAAAATATGCATTTTTATGGTCAAAACAGGTGGTAGTGTGTTATGGAATTACAGGCACTGATACAGTAAAAACATGAAGTTATTTCTTCTCAAAATAAAATAAAAATTTCCTAGAGAGAGAAGTAGGTTCTTTTTGTGTCAGAAACCTTTGCTTCTGGATTAGTCAACCTCTATACTTCTTAAAATGAAATTTCTCCAGTTGACTATTGCAACATCCAAATTAAACACAGACCAAAGAGTAAAGAAAATGAAGAGCTCAGCACTTCTGCTCACCTTTCACGCTCTTCTTTCATTTTCTCCAGCTCTTCTTCTCTCAGGCCACCATGCTTCAGAGTACCTTTCTGCTCAGCCTTTCCACCCTTATCCTCTTTCTTCTTTCCAAATCTAGTGAAACATGAAGGAGAAGAAGGTTGTTAACAATAATCACATTGTTTTTGCGGTAAAGCTAAGATATTTATGGGATGAGCTCATTAAGTCACACTTCTTTATTCTAAGTAAGTCAAGATCATTTCGCATAAAATGGAACTAAAATAAGATAAGGAAAGCAGAAATATAATGCGGTTAGGAAATTCCCCCTTTTCTCTCTTCTTCTTTTCCTTCCTTCCTTCTTTTCACTCACATTCATCATGTATCATGCACAATATTATGTGCTTTTGTGAAAGTCTGGGAAAGAAACATCAGCTTGTTTTGTGATTCTTCTATTATTCAGGTTGCTTAGAGTTAGGACTTTTTAATATTTTATTTTTTTTTGAGACAGAGTCTCACCCTGTTATCCAGACTGGGGTACAGGTGGTGTGATCTTGGTTCACTAAAATCTCTGCCACTGGGGACTCAAGTGACTCCCCTGCCTCAGCCTCCTGAGTAACTGGGATTACAAGTGCACACCACCATGCCTGGCTAATTTTTGTATTTTAAGTAAAGACTGGGTTTCACCATGTTGACCAGACTGATCTTGAACTTCTGACCCCAAATGATCCGCGCACCTTGGCATCCCAAAGTGCTGGGATTACAGAGGTAAGCCACCACGCCCAGCCAGGACTTTCTTTACAATGAGTATGTCAGGTCTTCCTGTGATGAGATACTGATTCCCTTTGTAGGTGTTGATAGAAGGTGGGAGAGGGAAGGGCCAGCCTAAGCACACATAATTTGAAAATTTTCCTTATTATTTAGACAAATATTCAAAACTAATTATAATGACCTATTAATGCAATAGAGAGCAAGAAACTAAAAGATTTATCATTAATATATAAATAAAAGTTGACTAATCTCCTAAGCAGGCTTCCTGAGCCCTAGTGTCAATGGTACTTAAGGATAAACTCCTGGAATTATACCACGACAGTGCCACAAGAGACCTTATTGAACACCTCATTCAATGCTCTCACGTATGTTTATGTGAGAAGTTAATAGATCAGTACACCACTTAGATAAATAACTTTTGCTCAAAATGCCATTAAATATAGTAATGTTTGGGCAAAATATTCAACACAGTTGGGAGTCAGGGTAGAAATAATGCTTCAGGTGGTTGATGAGGGCAAAAATCTTGCCAAAAGCTTTAGGTATTAGGCTTGCTTTATTTTTCTTTTTTTCCCATGTCCCATATATTTTCTTCTAAATTTGCAGGTTTGGGGATTTTTGAGATAAAAGCAGTGTTGTTTTTGAAGGGTAAAACTAACCTGCTTCCCAGCCTACCTTGATCTTTATTACCACACCCTATAAATTAGTTTTGCTTCTAGTTGCTAAAATGGTTCACCTGTACTGCAGTTCAGCAATAGCTCACTATGCTTCCATCACAGTGGAATGTGTTTGGTAAGAAAAAAATGTTAGTTGCAAGTAAATTCTGCAAGGTATTTTCTTCTTAGCAAGAACCGCCAATAACAGTCAAATCAAGCAGTTCTACAAATATTGTAAATGCTTTGATTGAAAGTTCATAATCCTTCATTAAAGATTCCAATGAGAAGGGAAAAAATAGCTGTGAAATTTATTTTATTAACCAGAGAAAAGGATTATAAATTGCCTTATTTTGTAAAGTTTAGGTAGGCTCAAGAACAGCATTATAAAACAATCTTTAGAAAACCCCTCAAACTCCCACATTGTTAAGACAAGGAAATTGAGACTCAGAGGAGTTAACTGCTTTTTATTTATTAACAAACTGAATTCCTTTTCATTTTGCAATAAAACAACTTAATTATCAGTAGTGGCAGTAGTGGAGGTGGCAAGAGACTAAGGGGGAAAGACTGGATTTGGTGACTTTCTAAGCCTTTGTTTTCCTTTCTGTAGCAGCCTTTGTGGGGATCATTTCACAGCCACTCTTACTTTCACTGAGAAATAGAAAGAGGAGTTGGGGAGGTTTATCTTCCCATTAGCTATATTGTGAGAAGAGTCACAAACCCTAAATGCCTAAAATTACTACTTTGCATTCGAGAGTTTCAAATATGCACTGCATTCCAGGATCCCATTATCTGTTACCTTAGAAATTTGAGAGTTGGCCATTCTGGGCTAGGTGCCTTAAGGAAATTGCTTAGAGGTCAACCTTACTTTATATAAAAGATATTTTCCTAAAAATTTCTGTGCAAACATATGGTTTTAATCAATAAAATCTTATTTTACATGTACCTAGGAAGCCTGTTTAAAGAATATTATGATGGATCTTTTTTGTAAAGTGGAAAAATCACCTTTCAACATACCCTTTATGTAAATTTAGATGTTCATGAATTATAAGTTTGCTTAAAACACCTGTCCATTTTTCTGTTCATTTTTATAGAGGGCACATGAAACAGATTCTTTCTTCTTTCCTTACTCTCTCTCTCTTTCTTTCTCACTTTCTTTTTTCTTTCAAAAAATATTAGGTATCTACTAGGTGTCAGAAATTACAAGCAATTGCTTTAGATTAATATTGTGTTGGCATACAAAACCACACACTATCCTCATGAAATTTGCATTCTAAAAGAGGAGACAGTTATAAAACAAGTATAAATCTGTAATTGTTAGTTGTGGTAAGTGCTATGAAAGATGTTAGAAGACACAATAATTGGGAATTGATTGATTGGGAAATGCCTCAGTGAAAAAATAGATTAAAGCTGAGAACATAAGAGTGAGAAGGTCCAGACAAGTGAAGAGTGGGAGAGGCCGGACACGGTGGCTCAAGCCTGTAATCCCAGCACTTTGGGAGGCCGAGGCGGGTGGATCACGAGGTCAAGAGATCGAGACCATTCTGGTCAACATGGTGAAACCCAATCTCTACTAAAAATACAAAAAATTAGCTGGGCACGGTGGTGCATGCCTGTAATCCCAGCTACTCAGGAGGCTGAGGCAGGAGAATTGCCTGAAAGCAGGAGGCGGAGGTTGCGGTGAGCCGAGATCACGCCATTGCACTCCAGCCTGGGTGAAAAGAGTGAAACTCCGTCTCAAAAAAAAAAAAAAAAAAAAAAAAAAAAGAGTGGGAGAAAAGTCTTGAGGGTGGGTGAAGGAAACAGCAAATGCAAATGGCATGTGTGGGGAAGCCTTGGTGCATTCAAAGCAGTGAAAAAAGGCCAGAAGCCGGGAGATGAGAGAAGAAACTCCGCCAGGATGCAGATGGAAAAGCCAACAGGCACAGGTGCGAGAGAAGCTTTGATTTAATCTAAGAGTGATGGGAGGTCATTGCTTAGTCATTCCAGCTGCAGAGAAGCTAGGTGAGGAAACCAGGAGATAGAGTTAGTGGAGGAGAAATGCAGAGAAACCACGTGTTTTGAGTAGAAGTGATACAATGTGATGAATATATATATTTGAAACAGAGTCTAGCTCTGTCACCAGGCTGGAGTGCAGTGGCGCAATCTTGGCTCATGGCAACCTCTGCCTCCCAGGTTTAAGCGATTCTCCTGCTTCAGCCTCCTGAGTAGCTGGGATTACAGGCATGCACTGCCACATCAAGCTAAGTTTTGTATTTTTAGTAGAGATGGGGTTTCACGTGTTGGCCAGAATGGTCTCGATCTCCTGACCATCCTGGCCAACATGTGAAACCCTCCCAAAGTGCTGGGATTACAGGCGTGAGCCAGTCACTGTGCCTGGCCATGATGAATATTTTTAAAAGACCACCCCGGTGCTGAAATAAAAAGCAGCAAGTAAAAGCAGTAACATAATTAAAAACAGTAATTTAACTGATTGGGGACTCCTGCAGGAGTGGGTGCAAGATGACAGTGGTTTGGACTAAAGTGTCCACTGAGAAGAGAAAATAGTGATTTGAAAATAGTGAGTCAATGAAAAGGTATAAAAAATTCAATTTAAAACATGATTCTTGTAATATATCTTTGGGAAATTCTAGTAGATGGGTCCAGGTCCAAGTCCCGAGAAACTGTAACACTTGAAGGTCAGAGACAGGAGTGGAGGTGAGGGTCGGGGGTAGGGCAGGTAGACAACAGAGAGAAAAAACAAGAGAGAAATAAAGAGAATGTGGTTGAAAAAGAATTTAAAGATTGCTGGAAGAAGACGGACAAGGTCAACAGATGGGAATGCTGCTGAGACACCCAATGAGGTGAGGACTGAAAGGCATTCATTAGATTTGGCAATATAAAGTCATTCATAGCCTTGGCAAGGGTCAGCGGAGTAGTGTGAGCAGAAGTCATGTAGGCATGTTCTGAAGAGCAAATGGTGGGTAAGTATAAGTGTTTATACGACCATTACAGACTGGGTAGTGATTGGCTGGGAGGGAGGTAGCTGCAGGTGCAGTCAGTCGAGTACTGAAGAAGGAGGTTTTCAATTTGGCTTGCAGCACAGAACGTTTTGGTTGCTGCTAGGAAAAAAGAGTGAGAGGTCAGAGATGGAGGACAGAGAAGAGTAAGTTCTTTTCCCTCTTTATTAAGGTCAAATATACATAAAGTACAATTTACCATTTTAGCCATTTTTTGGTGTACACTTCAGGGGCATTAGGCACATTCACATTGAGAAACCATAACACTATTCATGTCCAGAATTTTTCATGATCTCAAATGGAAACTGAGTACTCACCCTACAGTAACTCCCCACTCCCTCTTTCCTCCGGCGCCTGGTAACTGCTATTTGACTTTCTGTCTCTATGAATTTGACTATTCTATGTGAAATTCATATAAGTGGAATCATAGAAAATTTATTCTTTTGTGTCTGGCTTAATTCACCTAGAAGAAGGTCCTCAGGACTCATGTATGTTGCAGCATGTGTCAGAATTTCATTCCCTTTTAAGACTGAATAATATTCCATTGCATGTGCATAACCACATTTTGTTTATCCACTAATCCACTGATGGACATTTGGGGTTGTCTCCATCTTTTGGCTACTGTGAATGAACAAGTGGCATAGGAGATGAAAATTCTTGATAAGGGAGGAGGATAGAGATAGCATCGCTGGAGAGATTAGCCTCAGATGGAAGGAAA